GATGTGTCGGGTAGTAGGATCTGATTGAAATGGGCCACGTACGCTTAATGAACGTTGGATCGTACGAGATTTGATTCAATCGCTAATATAAATATTACAACAACAACAAAAGTTAAATTTGTTTTTAAAGTTAAGCAAACATGTTTATAAATTTCATGGACCTTGGGATTCTAATATTTAAAACATTTAAGCTGATAGTTTATCAATTTACAAATGGACCTTTTAGTTCTAATATTTTAAGCTTATAGTTTATATATGCTTTTTTCAAAAAAGTTTATTCAAAGAGTGTGATTAGTAATTAGTACGAATGATGATGTATGCTTAATGAATAATAAATTGAGTTAAAGTGTGCAATCTAATCAACTTTAAGAGTACTTTTGTTTTTTTAGTTTATCTTAGCATATCTCTATCTTAAGAGTTCAGAGGTTGGTTTCTTTTATTATAGAAATTGACTCTAAACTAATAATTAGCTTGCCATATAAAATATTTGTTTATTTTTCATTTTGTTTTAAATCAATCCAACAACAAAATAGTAGTTGTCACATAATTCGTATCACATGAATTCTAAATATGAATTGATTATTGATGGAACATTATTAACACTCTCGACTATTGTGATTAATCTTCTTATCATTTTTACAAAATTTTAATGTTAGTAACCTTTCTAACGTTTCGTTTTAACAACAAATATTTATTTAACCATCATCCTTTTTTTTCCATGGTTTTAAAGTACAGTTTGTTTCTGTTTATGTAGCAGACTCTGCTTGTTATGGAAGATGCCTTAACTATAACATTCCCTTGATTGAAACATACCATTTGCTAATTAATCACTTCATTAAGAAGCTTACGCCTTCTTTGTTTGGAAAGGACTTCAAATTATGGGCCCAATTGAAGATGTAATTAGGCAACTAATTAAATTTTAGGTGATCAGTCTTTTTATATGAATAACATTACTCCAAAACTTGCTTTCAATTTCCAAAATGGCCATCACTCATCAATTCATCATCATCACTCGCAAGTTAGTGTCACTTCAATCTACTTTAATTTTTTAATTAAATTTTCTTACCAAAATTTCTTGTTACTACTCTTTTAGCTTTTTAGAGCTTTTTATTTATTTATGTGGCCTGCTAAATGCCGTTACAACCAGATCATAAATTATAAGAACAAAATTGAAAGAGATATAAGTGGAAACAAAAATCAAAAGAATCAAAATTGAATATATTGATAGATTGGTGAAGAAAAAGCAAATGAAAAACTTTATGAGGGGTAAAATTATGATATTTAAAAAGGAATTGTGAGTGTTCAGCACTTCAAATTTTAATAATTCAGGTTTTGGATTCGTGTCGGTTTCAAAACATATTTTTCGGTTTTATAAGTTTGGAGACATAATAATGAAAAAGCTGTCTCCAACATGGATCAGTTGAAATATTTTGGTCTGAGTTCAAATTATAATCAAATATGTTTAAAATTTTAAGAGAAAGCTAAGTTTACATTTTAATTTTGTACCTTAGACTTTTTATCTAGCTTGGATACTCGTAATAATAATGTTTGTTGTGGCTCTCATACGCACGTTGCTGGATATGAATGCGGATTATGACAAAGAGACTATCACTAGTTAAATTCCCGACCAAAGAAACTATCAAACCTAAAAGCTAGGTTGCATGGAAACGTAAACAAATACATTAAAACGAAATGTTCGGAAATGTACAAATGATTTTTTAAAATAATTTAGAAAACAGATACATTTTGGAAACGCATACACACACACATATATATATATTCTAATGAAAAACAACATCAAAACGATATCGAAAAGAAATTTGAATAACACAGATTATATACATAAATATTAAATAGCTTAACAAAAGTTAAAAATATAATAATTTTGTTATTTTTAGCCTACAACGCAATTTTGCATAGTTTTATTATTTTTAACCTACAAAAATACTAAATAAGT